TATTCAGTCCAAGTGTGGTTCCAAGGACAATATTAAGCATGTCCCTGGAGGTGGTAATGTAAGTATGAGCTCTGGGCAGCTGGTGTCTGAGCCGTAGCCCCGTGGGGCACCGGGGAGAGGGCCGCTTGCGCTCCCAGGACCACAGCAGCCTGGCTCGGGGCTTTCTTCCAGACACAGGCCAGCAAAGTGAGAGGAGGCTCAGTGCTCCTGTGTGTTAGGACCAGCTGTTTCTGGGGAACCCCTGACCAACACCCTGGTGATGCCCATTTGGCATCTTTTCTCATCTTCTCTTTCCCTTCTGCTCTCTTTCACCCACTTTCCCCTGTTCTGAGTCCTTCTTCCTCTTACTCCCTCAGCCCCTCCTTTTCTTTTTGTCCCCTTCCTCCATCCATCCAGACAACCTTTTATCACACTGCCCTTCTGTGCCAGCCCTACGCTCTGTGTTGGGGGCACAGTGACTCCAGCTAACAGGCCCTGGTCTAATGTTAGAGAACACCCTGTTCACCTTCCACGTGTCCTCGTGGCAGTACTCAGGCAGGTGGGACCCCAGCATGCACCAGAGGTGTGTTATGGAGAGGCCACATGCAGCCTCTGCCTTCGTGGCTTCTCCCCTGCTTCTCTCCCCACCCCACAGTCAGGGAGCTCATCCTGCTCTGTCTCTCTGGGTTTCATTCAGTTCCTTCTCCTTACTGTCTTAAACTGGACTGAGTTCTGCTCTGCTCACCCTTTTCATTTTCGGCCTCTGTCCCCCCTGTCCCCTCAGTGGCCATGCCATCCTGCCTGTGGCTTACAAACACTCCCCAGCCCGGTGGTCGTATTGTGAGGAATCAGCCTCAGGTTAGCCCTGTCTTGCCCCACACAAGGCCCCTTCTTGCACCTCCTTCCCAGTCACTTTGCACCAGTGGCTCTTCTAACGTGGGTAGAAAGCGCACTCTTGACGTGGAGGTGGGGCGTACTCGGCCGGCCTGGTAGCTGGCCAGACGTTAGCCAGCCTGGTGTGCGATGAGCTGAAGTGGGTGAAGCGTTTAAAGACAGTATCTGGTTAAGGTGATAAAGATCCAGCTTATGAGGGCCCCAGGTAGGCACCGGCCTCAGCTTTTCCTTTCAGGCTTTTGACCTAGGTGAGAACAGGAGGTGAGCAGAGATTATGAAGGAACTGGTCATTGTGTGTGTGACACAGAAATACATTTGTGTATAGTGTGCGGTTGTATGTACAAGCTAGGAAAATAGACATGTATTTTTTTTTTCAAAGTTTGTTTTGAGAGAATGCGGTAGAGAGCACACATGCACAAGTTGGGGAGGGGCAGAAAGAGAGGGAGAAAGAGGATCCCAAGCAGGCTTCGCACTGTCTGCACCGAGCCCAACTCAGGGCTCGATCTTCCGAACCATGAGATCACGACCTGAGCCAAAACCAAGAGTTGGACGCTTAACAGACTGAGCCCCTGGGCGCCCCAAAATAGACATCATTTATCTATCACTTACTGTGGTCTTGGCACATTGCCTACATGTGACTTCCAAGATTTTTTTTAAGCATTGTATTGTAGGAGGCTTCCTTAAGCAGCCTCTCATTCGGAAACCTGCCTGTGAGCAGTGTTTCCAGGTGGGGAGATGAAGGTAGACGGCCTTGACTGAGGGGCCATACTTGTTTCCCTCAGCCCCTCCATAAAGCCACCACAGATAGACACGCAGCTGAGAAAGAGTGGGCCCGCTGGCACAGGTAGAACAGCGTCACACGTCACCCGCAGACCCCATCCCCTCCTGTATAGAAATTCTGAAGTTAGCACCCGGATGAGAGGCTGGAGCAGGGTCCCAGTTAGTGCTGCGCGGCGCCCCCGTGTACATACAAATGTCCCCTTTTTTGAGAACCAGGAGGACATCAGGGCAGGGCACGTAGCAGATTTCCCCCAGTTTAAAATTTTGTGACAGTTTTTCTTCCATTCCACCCCCGTGAGGGGGGATATGTGCGCGTCATGAGTTCTGAGGCCTGGGGGCACTGCCATCCCAACAGCCCGTACTGCTGTCCACAGCAGCCCGCGGGTCCTCACAGGCCAGTGGGGCAGATTGCGGAAACGGCTGCAGCGAGGTTGAGGTACCGTGCTTGCCGGGGTTGGTGTGTGGGAAGAGGACCACGGAGACAGGCATGGCTTCTGCTAGCTGCCGGGCTTTGCCGGGGAGAGGACCTTTGAGAAACACGTCATAGGCCAGAGAAGCAGCACGTGGCTCCCTAAAGCTTTGAGTGGAGGCAAGTGGCCAGGGGAGGGAAGGAGGGGAGGATTGTTTGGCAGTTACTATGGATTCTCTACATACCAGCCCAAGAAGGCAGAGTGACATCTCAGATGTGGTGGGTTAAGTGAGGGGGACACAGTTCAGCTTTTTAAAACGGTTAATCATAGGCATTTTTCAAATACATGCAAAAGTAGAAAAGAATCCTGCAATGTACCCAGCTTCATTTATTATCCTTGTGGCCAATCATTTGTTTGTTTTAAATTTTATTTATTTATTCTGAGTGATTTCTACACCCAACTCACAACCCTGAGGTCAAGAGTCACAGGCTCCACTGACTGAGCCAGCCAGGCGCCCCTCCTTGTAGCCAATCTTATCTTCTGTGTGTTCCCACCCTGATTATTTTGAAGCCAGTCCTAGATACATCATTCATCTGTAAATATTCCATTCATAACTTTAAGATAACTCTTTAATGTACGTGTGTAAAACCCCTACTGACACTCAGGATACAAGTAGGGACCATAAATTGTGGTTGGTTGATGCGTCTCTTGTCTCTTATAACCTTCGGTTTCTTTTACTCTACAGGCACCCTTCAGTTTTTGTTTGTAGCAGCACTTTATAAATGAGTAAACTAAGTGGTTTATCCTAGAATCTGGCTTCTGCTGCATATCCCCGTATTTTGATTTAATATACTCCTTTGTCTCTCCATATCTTTAAATTGATTCAGGTTTGATTTTTTTTTCTCCCCCAGCTCTTTGCAAGACTTTTATAGGTAGTGGTGGTGTTTCTGTCAGGAGGCATATTGTGTTTCACTGTCTGGTCCCCCTACCCGCCCCCACTCTCTGATGGCCAGTACCTAGACCCATGCGTTGAGTAGGGGTATACTATGGTGAGGCTCGAGTTCTCCCATTCCTTCTTCATTTATTGGCTGGGATACATCCGCAAAGCAGAATTTCCCCTGATCAACTATTCTTTACCTGAGAACCAGGCAGGAGGTAGAGAACCAGTGGCTTCGGTCGCAGAACAGTCTCAGGAAATGTGCAGGCCCCAGGCCTTGGAGGGTGACCCCTGGAACGCCTCCCAGGTGTCTCAAGGGTGGCACAAGATGAGCCTGCCACCATTGCTGCAGGACACGTGTTGTCTTGGTCTCAGTAGCTGGCAGATGTTTGGTTGGGAAAAGTACTTCCCTGTGTCCCTGTTGGGAGAATTGTGGCCTTGTTGGAAATGTGAGGCAAAGTGGAGGCTGTTGTGTTGAGATGGTAATTGTACTTTGTAAATGATTACTGAACGTGGAAGCAGTCAGTGTCCTGCTGAACCTGATGTCCCTCCAAAGGGTGGAGTGAAGCCAGAGCCTTTGAAGAAGGTGACCTGTGAAGGGCTTTGAAGGATGGGGAGGAGAATGCAGTGGGCTTGCTTGGCTACGGAATAGTATGAGCAGAGTTCTGGAAACAGTGAGGATGGCTCAGGCAAGCTGATGGTTATGGGAAGTTACTCTGTGCCAGGCCTTGGGCTGCGAGTGGACGTAGAACGATGCAGTAGACATCACATGTATCCTCTTGCAATACGATGGAAACCGTATTTCCTGATACTGGAGAAAGGAAGACGGGGTCCTAGAAGGTAGCCATTGAACGGCACTGTGATGAAACCCCACCAGAAGGGCATGACACCTGCCAGCAGGGCCCCGTGGGCCACCGCATGAAGGACTTGATTGTGGCGGAAAGCCAGGCTCTTCCACAGAACCAAGGAGCGGCTGGGCCACTCACGGGAACTGTGGTATTTTCATCCCAGAACCCAGTGCCCCTCTATAGATGACGTCCTTTCCTAATTTAAACACATGCCATCAGTCGTGGTAGCAAGATGTTTTTCCAAGGCTCCTGGGGGGCAGACCTAGATGAAAGTCCGTTGGCCACCTCAAAAGTAGGGGCAAGTGTAGAGGACACCCAGACAAGTCTCCATCCCCAACGGGATTCATTTGTATAAAAGGCCATTCATCCTCTTGATTGCTCACCAAATGTGGACAGGATGGCAAATCTGTGAAAGGCCTCGTGGAGCCTGTAGTCGTGCACAGTCGCGGCAGATGTGGAACTCCAGGCTACCACGCTGGGCCCATCGTGCAAATGCTTAGTATCCTTAATAATGAGCAGAGCAGCCAAGACTGGGCCTCTTTCACGTATAAATCAGCAGAATTTTGTTGGCGGTGGGGTTTCTTGTTTTCACTTTTATTTGCATTTATTTTATGCAGAATTTACTCCCGGGCCGTAAGTTTTTGTTCCTTCAGTCTCTTCTGGGGTATCTTTTTTTTTTTTTTTTTTCTGTGCAACTTCCTCTTCTGGTTTAGGAATAATCTGCTCTTTTCCAGTAAGGATCGTCTCTCACTGTGGCAATCTGACCATGAGCCCTGTTAAGTTCTACACCACATCTTGGGGGCTTTGTCCACCTGGATGTGCAGTGACCAGAGGATCTACATCTAAACCCCTAAGTTCAGCAGTACTCTCTGCATTTTTAAGCGTGTGCAGTAAAATTACACACTCTCTTTGGGCCACTGACGCTGTGTCCAGCCCCGCTGTTAGGCCTGGGCACACCACTGTCTCCACCATTGTAGCAACAGAATGGCACACGTTGCTTTTGCAAAGTGACATCATTCAGTTACTTTGTGGCATTTCAGATACGTGCATTCTTGATGGCCTGGGCTGTGTTTCACATGTTGAACCTCTTGTGTGATTTTGTAGGTCAAGTAAATAGCGAACTGTTTTCAGAAATCACCTTCAGCCACTCACGGGAAGAGCGTCGTTGTTGTTTTTAATGGGAATAGCCAGGGCTGGGAGGATATGGAGACAAACCACGTAAGCTCTCTCGTGGGGGTCCGTTGTCACATTCCTGGAAACCCGGCCTCGTGCTTCAGGAACCTTAAAACAGTCCCAACCTTTGACCGGGTAACTGAAGTTCTGGGCATTTTGCTTGAGAGGTCATCAGAATTGCCATGACTTCTGTTCACAAAGATATTTATTGCTGCCAGAGTTTTAATGGTGAAAAATTAGGAAAAAAAAAAAACCGAAAAAAAACAAACAACCTTAAATGGTCCCTATCTGGCATACGTTAGGTTTATATAAGATCTTACAGAATGGATTATGTGGCCCCTTCTTAACATTTCCCAACTTTTATGGGGAAAATGCTTATAACATGAATTAAACAGGAATACAAAATCATAGACACATACGTAGAAATCTGTGCTGTCAGCCATGAGGGGAAAATGCACTGAAACGAACTAAGAGGAAAACACCAAAACATCATTCCAGGTTACCTCTGGGCCAGGAGTTGATGGGTGAGATTTCAGGTGGAAGAAGAGGACATTTCAGGAGATGGGGGTCCAGAAAAACCTGAGAAGAGCTGCCTGGCAGGCGCCCGGACAGGGTGGGAACATTGTGGAGCGTGTGGGAACGTTGGTTCAGTCTGGCAGGAGGTGAGTTCAGAAGCTGCAGGGGCAGCAGGATGGATGAAGCGTTGGTTTAAGCACTTGGGGAGGTGAGCCTGACCTTGAGCAGACTGAGGTAGGGCCTTACACAGGGAGAGAAGAAACTTGAACGTGGAGATTGTCAAGGGAACACAGGTTTGGCCCTGAAATATATCCTCTCTCTGAGGCAATAATATTTTGTGGTTTATTTCTCAGGTTCAGATTCAGAATAAGAAAGTGGACATCTCTAAGGTCTCCTCCAAGTGTGGGTCCAAGGCTAACATCAAGCACAAACCTGGTGAGTGCAGTCCCCTGCTTCCCCCAGGGTGCCTGGGCCTCGCCTGGGCTGGGTCTCCCCGCTGTGCTTTTGTCATTCCATAAAGATTCCAGGGGGGGGGCATCCCCCGGGGGGGGGGGGCATCCCCCCACCCGTCCCAGGCGCTAACCTCTTAGGCGCATCCGGAGGAGCGGGTGGTAAAGGCCGCTGTCCCCACGGGCATCACCGCACCCCTACTAGCGCGCCGGGAGCCAGTGCTGGGGGCGGCCGTTCGACTGCGGGCGGCGGATATTCCCAGGCAGTGACGCACCAGCTGTGAGCTCCCGCAGGACAGAGTCGTTGGGTAGCGCTGCCCAGGCCGCGGGTGAGGGTCTTGCTGCTGGGGCGGTGTGACTTCCTCCTGGCGGCGTGCTCCCGCCTCCACTGTCATCCCCTACAGCCGCGTGTCCTGGTTCTGGGTGACAGTAGACCAGGGCTAGGGCACTTCCCCTGCAGCGGCAGGCACGTGGCTGGCAGATCTGGCTCCTTGGAGGTCAGGCGCCAGGGGCCACTTAAGGTGAAGGCAAGGAACTCTCGGCAGAATGTGTTCTGTTTAAAAGGGTCAGAACAGTTTGGCCCTTAACTCACCTCATCTCCCCCCTTTAATCTGGAAAATCCACTCTTGCGCGATGCCACCTTCCCCGGTGCCGCTGACTGACCCCGAGGCTGGGTGTTTCGCGGTGGGGAGGGGTGGGCAGGAGCGTAGGACAGCTGGCCAACTTGGCACAAAGCCGGGTGCTCTGGTTTGTGACGCGGGCCTCCAGAGGGGTGGGCCTGGGAGAGCAGGGCAGCCCCACATCCTGTGGCCACACTGTGGCCGTGAGTCCTGAACCTCACCCTTGTGCACTGGCCGCCCGAGCGCGCTGGGCCCCGGGGCTGGTCCGGTCCGTGCCTGACCTTTCTCAGCTCAGTGCCGGGACTACTCCCACCTCTCCTCCTTTTCCTCCACGACAGAGAAGCCTCTTTCCATTTGCCTTCTCTTCACTACAGTGTGGCTCATGCAGCAGCACAGACAGACCCCGCTGCCACCCTACCTCTGGCCATCGCCAGCCTGGTGGTGACTTTGGGCAAGTCACTCCTCTTGTCCAGCACCCGCTCTGGTGGCTGTAAAACAAGGGTCCTGACCCTGCTGGACAGGGCGTTCCTGCACTGCACGGAAGCGGGCGCTCTGCGCCACCCAGTCAGGGGGTCGTGACGTTGGCTAGAGAACCCGAAGCAGACACCATCTCGGCGCCTCTAGAGGCTTGGCTGGAGGCAGCACCGCGGGCCTGCGGTGGTGCTGAGGGTGCCTTTCTTCTCTGTGGAGGTGTTGCCGCTGGCCGGATGTAGACTGTCAGCCCAACTTTGAGAAGACTAGCCCTGTTTGACAAACATGTCCACTGTCCTTTCCTCCTCCTCTGTGCTCAGAGCCACGTTCCCCATTTCTGTATTGGGCACATAGCCAGTCCTCGGCCCAGCTAGGATTCCTGGTCCCACCGCCTGGCTTTGCCTATGTGACCGGTTGTATTTTGGTACCAGGTGGAGGAGATGTCAAGATTGAAAGTCAAAAGTTGAACTTCAAGGAGAAGGCCCAGGCGAAGGTGGGATCCCTCGATAATGTGGGACACCTGCCTGCAGGAGGTGCCGTGAAGGTAGTGAGTGGGTCACCAGGGGGACACGGCTTGGGCCGGGTGGGAGGGGTTATGCAGCCGGAGTCTGGGTCCCAGGTACTGGGCGCCTGTCACCGCCCCTCAGTATCTTCAGGAGTCTTGTGTCACCCACACCATTGTGTTTTCCCAGTGTCCTTCATCAGTCCTGAGTGAGGCAGGAGAGGTAAAGAGGCCCCAACCCAGCTGCCTCTCACCTGTCCAGCTGGAGACAGAACCTCTCCTTACAGCCATGGCCCTCCTTACTTTTTGAGCCCATCTCAGCCATTTCTAAGGGGACTATGGGCTGGGGCACAGACTCCCACAAAGCACGGTTCTCCCCAGCTACCTCATGAGGGGGTCCAGGCTCCATGCCGGGCTCCATTCTGGGCCTGCTGGGAGCAGGATGCCACATTTGCAACTCCTGGTGACACCTGCCTCTAGAGGGACTGCCATGGCCAGGGCTCAGGTGGGCAGGACTTCCCATCCTCTGGACTGGCTGGGCCTCTCCTCCCTTCCCTCCCTGTCTCCTTCCCTCCCTCCCTCCTTCCACGGCACTGTGAGACCTTTGTGTGCCAAGATGTTGTCTGTCCTTCGTTCTGTGTTGGGCGGTTGGGGGGGGACACAGGGGGCAGCACCTTGCAGGCTTCTGTGCATGACCACAGCTGCAGCTGCTCAGGGGAAGGTGAGCCAGGGAGAGGGACACAAGAGCAGCGGCTGGGGCCTTCGCTTCTACATCTGATGCCTAGCCCAGCCTGTGTCCCCTCTTCCCTCCTTCCCTCGGTGCTCCAGTTGAAGGCCTGACTGGCTTCTGTGAATGTGTGGGGTCCTGGCTCTGTCACAGGCTCCCAGTCCACGCCTCCATACCTTTGAGGAGCCACTCCCCAGTCTGTCCTCCGGGGGCCCTAACTCAGATGTAGTCGCTAGTCCAAAGCCACATGGCAAGTACATGTAGACCAGGGTTTACACCTGCACCTTTCTGACCCCACGTCTTAAGTTCTTTTTTTTATTCACATCATCTCCCTTAATTATTTCTGGAATTGTCTTTCTGATACAGAGGCCCGTCTCCTTCACTGTTCTGATTAGAAACCACTGTAGAGTCTTCCATTGCCACCTTTTGGGTGTTCCGGGGCACGGGTGGCCTCCCACTGGCCTCCCCTCTTCTGTCCACCCCATCCTCCTCCCGCAAAGCCCTGCAGGCCCCGAAGTCTCCCTGGTCCCCCCTCCCTGGACCCCTTCCTCCCTCCTCTGTGTCCCCAGGCTCCGGAAGGGTGCCCCGCACAGAAGAGGTCTCGGTGTCTGGGGAGGGGTAGATGAGCAGGCAGGGCTCATGAGTTCCCAAGAGAGCCCCTTTAGCACCCGCTCTCTGGTGGGTGTGGTCTGGGACTCATCGGTCCGGTCCGAGGTGGTGAGCTGCACCCCTTGGGAACTGACTCCCAGCTCCCAGAGCTCCTTAACTGGCCTGCAGCACCCCCGCTTCCCGACCGATTCCAGACCCGCTGTCTAGAGAGCGTTCCCAGGGTTTTTGCCAGTGATCAGGTGTCACGGCTGTTTGGTGTCGGCCTTGCTGAGAAGCCCGCACCTCTCCCCTCAGACCACATGAAACCGTGCACTCCACAGAGGAGCCCCCCAGGGTGTGTCACTAGCCAGGCTGCATGCTGGGCCCGAGGCTGTGTTCTTGCCCTACACTGGCCGCCCAAGCCAGGGGTCCTCTCACAGGCAGAGTAGGGGTGGGGAGTACCTGGTTTAGAGTCTCCAGATGACTGTGCCTAAATCCAGTGGCCGGGGAGGGGTGGCGGGTGGGCAGGGAGGGGCTGTGTGTAAAACCCACCATCACCCATCCCACCTCCTCCCCGACTGACCCTGCACTGTCTCCCCCACTGTTTCATTGTAGACTGAGGGCGGTGGCAGCGAGGCCCCTCCGTGTCCGGGCCCCCCCGCTGGGGAGGAGCTGGCCAGCCCTGAGGCAGCGCCTGAAGCTGGCGCCCCCACTTCAGCCAGTGGCCTCAGTGGCCACCCCACCCTGGCAGGGGGTGGTGACCAAAGGGAGGCCCAGACCTTGGACAGCCAGATCCAGGAGACAAGTAAGTGGCTGGGCTTGGCCTGAGGGCCAGCCGGGGGCCCTGCCACTGTTTGCAAATTGAAACTCCTTTTTTTTTTTTTTGACTAGAGTATGGCCTAAATTTTAACCAAGCAACCTTTTATTTTCCAGGCATCTAATGATGACATTCTGGTCTCGTCTTCCGTCCCCTGTGTTCCTCCTCTTGTGTCCCTTGTTCCCCCCTCCCTTCCCTCCTCCCGTGTCACTGCAGATTGAGACCTACAGGCTGACGTTCCGGGCAAACGCCAGGGCCCGCACCGACCATGGGGCTGACATTGTCTCCCGCCCCCCCCACTTC